AGGTGCCAGGCAGCAGCCTCACCCCCTGCCTCGGAGAGAAAACCCCAGAGCAGCAGGGAACCAGGTTGAGGTGTTCTCCCCTGGCAGTCAGTGCTGATCACAGTGCAGCACTAGGGGGCACCAAGGTGCAGAAAGTGAGTGCAGTAAGGGGAACCGTGCTGCCTGGTGTTGGGGTGTTCAGTAGGGGGTGCTCTCCCCTGGCAGTCAGTGCTGATCACAGTGCAGCACTAGGGGGCACCAAGGTGCAGAAAGTGAGTGCAGTAAGGGGAACCGTGCTGCCTGGTGTTGGGGTGTTCAGTAGGGGGTGCTCTCCCCTGGCAGTCAGTGCTGATCGCAGTGCAGCACTAGGGGGCACCAAGGTGCAGAAAGTGAGTGCAGTAAGGGGAACCGTGCTGCCTGGTGTTGGGGTGTTCAGTAGGGGGTGCTCTCCCCTGGCAGTCAGTGCTGATCGCAGTGCAGCACTAGGGGGCACCAAGGTGCAGAAAGTGAGTGCAGTAAGGGGAACCGTGCTGCCTGGTGTTGGGGTGTTCAGTAGGGGGTGCTCTCCCCTGGCAGTCAGTGCTGATCGCAGTGCAGCACTAGGGGGCACCAAGGTGCAGAAAGTGAGTGCAGTAAGGGGAACCGTGCTGCCTGGTGTTGGGGTGTTCAGTAGGGGGTGCTCTCCCCTGGCAGTCAGTGCTGATCGCAGTGCAGCACTAGGGGGCACCAAGGTGCAGAAAGTGAGTGCAGTAAGGGGAACCGTGCTGCCTGGTGTTGGGGTGTTCAGTAGGGGGTGCTCTCCCCTGGCAGTCAGTGCTGATCGCAGTGCAGCACTAGGGGGCACCAAGGTGCAGAAAGTGAGTGCAGTAAGGGGAACCGTGCTGCCTGGTGTTGGGGTGTTCAGTAGGGGGTGCTCTCCCCTGGCAGTCAGTGCTGATCGCAGTGCAGCACTAGGGGGCACCAAGGTGCAGAAAGTGAGTGCAGTAAGGGGAACCGTGCTGCCTGGTGTTGGGGTGTTCAGTAGGGGGTGCTCTCCCCGGCAGTCAGTGCTGATTGCAGTGCGGCACTAGGGGGTGCTGTGCTGCACAGACAGTGCATGGAGGTGCACCATGCTGCATGGCACCGGGAGCCCAGCAGGGGCTTCCAGGAGTCCAGCAGACGGTGCCATGCTGCGTGGCACCGGATGGGTGCTGGGGCTTCATTATCCCCACGGCAGTGAGTCTGCGTCACCTCCCTTCATCTCTCCTTGGGGTTTCCATGGAAACCTTTTAAGCCAACTTCTCAGGGAGACAAAATTCTTTTTTTAAAACGCTGTGAGGAAAGGGGGAAGGGACACATCAGTCCCCACGGGGCTCAGGGGCCCCAATCGGGAGGGAACTGAGGGGTCAGGAGGGTAGACACAGCACACCAGCCTGAGTGTTCCACATTCCCTCCTTTCCATGGCTCTGGAGGGCCATGGGGTCCTGTGGATTGGGAGGCAGAGGGTTGGGAGCCTGCACTCCTGGGTTTCAGCCTCCACTCTGGGAGGGCGGTGGGGTCTAGTGGGTCCCAGCAGGGATGCTGTGGGGAGCCAGGACTCCTGGGTCCCAGCTCTGGGAGGGGACCCTGCAGCTGGGTGCCCGCTGGCGCCACCTGGGGGCAGGGAATCTCACAGCGCCACCGGCCAGCATTTCTGCCAAAGGGTTCCCCTAGCAACTGTAACCAAGCACCCATGCGTGGCTGCAACTCAGTTGAGCTGCTTATTATGGGATGGTTCTTTTTGCCTCCTTGGCACGGCACCAGGCAGCATCGGGAGAGTGGGGGGGCGACCACTAGGATGTAGCAGGCTGCAGAAATGGGCAATGGCGACCCCAATCCTTCTCTACCAGTACAGGTACAAAGGGTTCCCCTAGCAACTGTAACCAAGCACCCATGCGTGGCTGCAACTCAGTTGAGCTGCTTATTATGGGATGGTTCTTTTTGCCTCCTTGGCACGGCACCAGGCAGCATCGGGAGAGTGGGGGGGCGACCACTAGGATGTAGCAGGCTGCAGAAATGGGCAATGGCGACCCCAATCCTTCTCTACCAGTACAGGTACCCTGGCTAATACCTGCCCCCATCCACCTCAATCCTGCCAGACACTCCCCCCCATCAAGAGCCCCCACTCCTCCCACGGCAGTCACCACCTCCTCCCCAAGACCCTTGTACAGAGCCCCCAACCCTCCCCAACCACATGTCATCTCCCCACAGGCCGGTGAGCAGCCCAGTCTGGAGTGTGGAGAAGGAACAGGTTTTCCTGGCAGGAGCCAGATGGCACTGGGGGGGCGCACACATTGGGAGCATGGGGTAGAGAGAGTGCAGAGGGGACAGGCCTGACTCCCAGCCATACACTCCCCACAGCTGCCCCACCTCAGAGCTACTGAGTTCTGAAAGCAGGAGCTCCACCCAGAGGTCTATTAATTTACCCTGCACTTCCTCAGTACAGGACCACAGTACATGACTCCCTGCTTCTACACTCCTCCCAGCACAGGGGGATAGAACCCAGGAGTCCTGAGGCCTCCGCCCCCTCTGTCCCAGGACGCTGCAGAACCGAGCTAGCAACATCCAAGACAGTCTCCCTCGGAGAACACACATGCACGCACACCATTCACAAAGTACAAAATAGACAGATCCCATCTCAAAGTACAACTCTCTCATGGGGACCAGGGCATCAGGCTAGCACCTACCGGGAATCCAGGAGCATCTCACTACAACCTCTGCTGTGCATCAGGCATTGCGAGCAATTACATTACTGGCTCTACCAAGGAGATGCTGTTGGATCTCACAGTGAGTTTTCTTCCTCTCAGCATCTTCTGGGATGGGGGAGCTAGGAGGTGTGTGTCCCTGAGATTCCCTGGGAACCATTTTGCAATGGGCACCGCTGGCATTCAGACACCATAGCTGTGCCTCATGTTAGGATCCGCAGCGAAGGTCAACACAAGCCAGCACAGTGCACCAGTAAGAGACTGGCCAGCTCTGGATAGTCCAGCCTGGTATTCGAGCAGCTGTGCCATGCCATCCCCACCTCTCCAGCCAGCCCTGAGGTTCCAGTGGCTAGGCAGCAGTGGTTGCAGTCTTGCACCCAAGCTCCCCACACACCCCAATCCTCTGCCATGAACCCCCCTAAAACTCTCTGCCCTGGCTCCTCCCCCTAGCACACTCCATCCCACACTTAACATTTCTTACAGAATCACAGAACTGGAAGGGACCGCAAGAGGCATCAAGTCCAGTCCCCTGCCCTCATGGCAGGATCAAGCACTGTCTAGATCAGGGATACTCAACACACAACCCGTGGGCCGCATGTGGCCTGTGGCCTGTTTGTTTGTGGCCTACAGTGTGGTTTGGGTTTACGCAGGGCTCAACACGTGGCCCTCAGGTGGGAGCCAAAACAAAAAAGTGGTCAATATAATGATCTTCTGTTAATATGCATTTTAGTAGTTAAATTTCTGGACTGTCATTGCCCATTAAAAGTGCTGTCCTACGGGTGGAAACCGGGTAAATATTGCATTTTATTAATATCAACAGAACAGACTTAAATGGGGCCTGCATGTTGTGTGGTCTTGCCTTAATCTGTGTATTCATGCCCGTCAGTGTGAAAAACTATTTGCATAAATTTGCATATATACTTGCATGCAACCACACTTAAGTTGCAGCCTTTGGCATGTGCTGTGAATATCATTGTGGCCCCCAGGGCTTCCAAAGTTGAGTAGCCCTGGAGATCATCCCTGACAAGTGCCTGTCTAACCTGCTCTTCAATATCTCCAGGGATGGGGATTCCACAACCCCCCTGGGCAATTTATTCCAGTGTTTCACCCCCCTGACAGTTAGAAAGTTTCTCCTAGTGTCCAGCCTAAACCTCCCTTGCTGCAGTTTAAGCCCCTTGCTGCTTGTCCTGTCCTCAGAGGCCAAGGAGAACCATTTTTCTCCCTCCTCCTTATAACACCCTTTTAGATACTTGAAAATTGCTGTCATGTCCCCTCTCCCTCTTCTTTTCTAAACTGAACAAGCCCAGTTCTTTCAGTCTTCCCTCCTAGCTCCTGTTCTCTGGACCTTTCCTCATTCTTGTTGCTCTTCTCTGGACCCTCTCCAATTTCTCCGCATCTTTCTTGAAATGTGGTGCCCTGAACTGGACACACTCCTCCACTTGGGGCCTAACCAGCGCAGAGTAGAGCAGAAGGCTGCTGGCTGAAGAGAAGCGGTCACTCTCCCCTAAGACCTCGTGTCTTGCTCACAACACTCCTGTTCATACAGCCCAGAATCATGTTTGCTTTTTTGGCAAGTGTCACACTGTTGACTCATGTTTAACTTGTGGTCCACTCTGACCCCTAGATCCCTTTCAGCAGTCCTCCTTCCTAGACAAATCACTTCCCATTCTGTACATGTGAAACTAACTGTTCCTTCCTAAGCTGAGTACTTTGCATTTGTCCTTATTCAACTTCATCCTACTTACTTCTGACCATTTCTCCAGTTTGTCCAGATCATTTTTACCCTATCTTCCAAAACACTTGCAACCCCTCCCAGCTTGGTATCGTCTGCAAGCTTAATAAGCATACTCTCTTTGCCAAGAGCTAAATCGTTGGTGAAGATATTGAACAGAACTGGTCCCAAAACAGACCCCTGCAGAACCCCACTTGTTATGCCTTTCCAGCAGGATTGTGAACTGTTAATAACTACTCTCTAAGAATGGTTATCCAGCCAGTTATGCATCCACCTTATAGTAGCCCCATCTAGCTTGCATTTCCCTAGTTTACTGAGAAGGTCATTACTAAAGTCTAGGTATCCCACATCCACCTCTTCTCCCTTATCCACAAGGCTTGATATCCTATCTAAGAAATATATTTGTTCTTTACAAATCCATGCTGGCTGTTACTTATCATATGTCTTCCAGATGTTTGCACATGGATTTCTTAATTACTTGCTCCATTACCTTCCCTGGCACAGAAGTTAAACTGACTGGTCTGTAGGGCCTGGGTTGTTCTTATTTCCCTTTTTATAGATGGGCACTAGATTTGCCCTTTTCCAGTCTTCTGCAATCTCACCTGCCTTCCATGACTTTTCAAAGTTGATAGCTAAAGGCTCAGATACCTCCTCTGTCAGCTCCTTGAGTATTCTAGGATGCATCTCATCAGGCCCTGGTGACCTGCAGACATCTCACTTTTCTAAGTCATTTTTAACTTATTCTTTCAACTTCTAAAACTACTCCATTTCCACTAGCATGGAATTGTCCTATCACAACCTCCCCCCCCCCACACACACACACTTTCTGCCCTGCCCCTCAGGGGCTTGCAATAGGAACTTACATAACTTTCACCCCTGACAATAGGGAATTAGGGATCCCTTATGGGATCTGTAGGCTGCACAGCCTGCTGGGATCCCATAGGGCTGTGCAGTTTTGGGGTCACTGGGTGCCCTGGGTCTCAGTGGAATCTCCAGGCAAAGCACCAGGCAAAGAATCATAGAATCACAGAATACTAGGACTGGAAGGGACCTCGAGAGGTCATTGAGTCCAGTCCCCTGCCCTCATGTTAGGACCAAACACTGTCTAGACCATCCCTGATAGACATTTTATCCAACATACTCTTAAATATCTCCAGAGATGGGGATTCCACAACCTCCCTGGGCAATTTATTCCAGTGTTTGACCATCCTGACAGTTGGGAACTTTTTCCTAATGTCCAACCTAAACCTCCCTGGCTGCTGTTTAAGCCCATTGCTTCTTGTTGTATCCTCAGAGGCCAAGATGAACAAGTTTTCTCCCTCCTCCTTATGACACCCTTTTAGATACCTGAAAACGGCTTCATGTCCCCCCTCAGTCTTCTCTTTTCCAAACTAAACAAACCCAATTCTTTCAGCCTTTCTTCATAGCTCATGTTCTCTGGACCTTTAATCATTCTTGTTGCTTTTCTCTGGACCCTCTCCAATTTCTCCACATCTTTCTTGAAATGCGGTGCCCAGAACTGGACACAATACTCCAGCTGAGGCCTAACCAGTGCAAAGTAGAGCAGAAGAATGACTTCTCGTATCTTGCTCACAACACACCTGTTAATACATCCCAGAATCATGTTTGCTTTTTTTGCAACAGCATCACACTGCTGACTCATATTCAGCTTGTGGTCCACTATAACCCCTAGATCCCTTTCTGCTGTACTCCTTCCCAGACAGTCGCTTCCCATTCTGTATGTGTGAAGGGAGAGTGTCTCAGGGTAGGACGCCACAGCATACTGGCTGTGGGATCACGTGGGACTTAGGAGGTCTGTGGGAGCTTGTGGGGCGGAGGCGTGAGGCGCGTGTGCCTGGAGGTTCCAGGGGATGGTGGGTCTCAGGTAGGTAGAAATGGTGTCCATGGCGTCTGTGGGTCAGAGGCTGAGAAGGGGCGAGGGGGAGGGATCTCTGGGTGGTTCCCTGCTCTGTCCCCTCCCTCTGGACCACAGAGCACTGGCCCGTCAGCAGACAGGACACGGGGGGAGGTGGACCTTTGGCCGTTCTGAAGTTCTAGGGGATCGGGCACCCGGGGGGGACACTGAAAGGGGACTATTTTTGTGGGATCTGGGGGCATTAGGAAGCAAGCCAATTCAGATGCATTTGTGGATCACTCATCTGTGGGATTGGGCCCTTATTTCTGTATTTGCCCAGAGTGCCAGGGTGTATTTCTGGGGATCTGCTTGGCACTGGGTGCCACTGGACACATGTCCCTAGGGCAGCACACCCCAGCCCCTAACCACTCCACTCCGTGCAGTGCTGCAACCCCTATGTCTGCACCTGGGCTCCCCTCAACCCCACACCATGCAATGCCATGCCCGTGACCTCCACGTCTGCACCTGGGCTCCCTCCCCTTGCCCCCACACTGTGCAGTGCCATGGCCCCCACATCTGCACCCTGGACCCCAACAACCCTGCCCCACCCAATGCAGCACCCCCAGCCTCCAGTCTCTGCCCCTTGCCATACCGTGCTCAGGGTGGGGCCGCCCCTCCACAGGGACGCTGACCGTGCGTCGTAGCAGCTTGGTCCGGCAGGGTTCGCTTCGCCGTTCCCTCATCAGCAATGGGTGTATCTGCAGACAGGGAAGAGGAGGGGTTACCGCTGTCCCCTCTCCCACCCTCCTCCACGGTCAGTGTCAAGGCAGGAGTCAGATCCACAACCTGCCACCCCCCAGGCGTGGAGTCGGGGAGGAGAGATGGGGTTAGCACTGCCCCCTTCCACGCCCTCCCCAGCTGTCAGATCGACAATCTACCACCCCCAAGGTGAGGCTTTGCCCTGTGTGGGAGGCATGGGAGGCAGTGGGATCTCAGGGGACCAGGCTGTACAGCACCAGGCCTGCAGCCTCCCCTGATGGATTCCGGACAAGCCCTGCCCATGCTCAGGCATAGGAGAGACCTCATGGCTGGGGCAGGTCTGGGCCCCTGGTCGAGGGAACAGGGGCTTCTCTCTGTGCTAGAGGGCAGAGGTCACTGCCCTGGTGGAGTGGGTGGGCCCCCAGGACCTCCCTGCAAGCTCCATGCTCTCTCTCACCCGAACATCCTGCCCTTGCCCTGTGGGTCTCACCTCGTCCTCGTCTAGCATAAGCAGCTGGTTTCCCGAGATTATGCAGAAGCGGGGATTCCAGGCTGGGCGTTCGTAGGGAGAGTGCATATAGGGCATGCGGTGCAGCGGGGCTCCTCGCACATCTGGGGGGAGGATTAGAGATGAGGCCATGGAGAGAGGAGTCTTCCCAGATGCACAGAACCCTTCTTCCATCCCCACACATGCGCTCCCTCCCCATGTGCACCCCCCCAGCCAGCAAGCTCCCCCTCCCTGTTCCCCCAGTGCGCTCCTCCCTTCACTTCCTCCCGCAGGCACCCCTCCCACCCGCACACCCCTCCCCATTCCCCCAGCATGCTGCTCTCCCTCATCCACCCACCCTGCCTCTCCCTTCTCCCCCACACCCTTCACACACCCTGTCCCTCCCCAGAGCACCCCTCCCATCAGCATGACCCCCTGTTCCTCCAGCATGCCCCTCCCTCCCAGCCCTGATGCACCCTTCAGTCCCCCCATCCATCCTCAGCATGATACTTCCTCCACCCCTGCCCCCCCCCATCTCTCTCTTTCCCATGGTCCCCACAAACCCTGTGGAACTGACCCATGGGGTTATGGCAAGAAATGGCTTGCTCAGAATGACTTGTGGCTGGGCTCAGAAATGGGCCCAACTTCCCTACTGATACCTCAGAAAAGGGCCCCTCCTCCCATACCCCACTTCCAGTCTGGCCCATTGGGCCTTGCAGCTCTCGTTCCCCCTGCATCCCATCACTCCTGGCCCCAGCCTAGCCTTCCCAGGCCCGTGAAGGGCCCTCCTAGGACAGACTCACTCCCAGAGATGTTCCACCCCAATCCCCAACAGCTCGCGCTTCAGAGCGGCCCAAGGACCCAACAACCCAAGCAAGATGCTGAAGATTCCAGGACAGCACCTAGAACTTGGATACACCCTTCTCCAGGAAGGGAAGCCCTAGACCATCCCCAGCCAGATTACACCTCTCTCCCTGCCCCTGCCCCTGCCCAGGCTAAGCCCTCACCCCACTCGGCCCTCGCCAGGGTAGGATCACTGCCCACATACTGGTTCTGAGACAGCGAGACCAGAAAGCACCAGGCGCCCTACTGCCCAGCCTCTCATGCAATGCATCTGAGAACAACACCCCAGCCAAGACCGAGCCCAAGAACCCACTGGACTATAGCATCGCGCTGGGCACGCTCAGGAGATGCCAGTCCCCTCCCTGCTCCCAGGATTAAACCCCCTCCCCTCATTAACCTCCATTGTAGGCCTTATTTCCAAGTGGAATTGATCTGGATTCTGCTCCCAGCCAGGGGCTCATCTGCCTTTCTCCACTAAGTTGGGGAGCCTGGGTGGCCCTTCCACCCAGGGATCAAGTCATGTCTCTGTCCTCTCCCTTAAATCAGCTGAACCAGGCATTCTCTCCAACCTTGCAGAGTGCTGCTTCAGCCTCGCCCATTCCTCCATCACCCTTCAGCCACATGGGCACCAGAACAGGCACCTCCTCTTCAGGGCAGGCCACAGGGTAAGGCCATCTTCCTACTCATCTGGGAACCCGTGGGGGACATTGCCACGGCCACGCATTGTGACCCCACATGCCAGGGCCTGCGAGGGCACCTCATTGACTTGAAAAAAAGCCTGGAGAGGTTAAAATCTGCCTAGTTTGACTCACTGGGGGGTTGGCTTAGGGCCTGCATGGCCATGGGGTTCAGCACACAGCCACGACGCCCAGACACGGGTTTGATTTCTAAGCAGCACAAGCCACTCCGTGACTCCAGGCTCTGGGGCGCCAGCGTTGCTGGCAGAAATGCTCAGAGCTGCCAGGTCTTTGCTTGGGTCCAGTCTGACCGATTCCCGCTTTGCTCCCAGGGGCTGCACTGCTGTAACACATCTGAGCCCGCCCCAGGGCTCTGGTCAGCCACACACCCCTCCCCTGCAGAGCCAGGCCACAGGCTGTCTGGTGGTGTGTCCACAGGGCACTGGGCGCACATGGTGCTGCTCCCGGCGGGGGCTGCAAGGGCAGGGCACCCCGTTGATCCCATGCCCAGAGTACAGGGCAGGAGGCCCTCACACTAGTGGGGAGCAGAGGACCGGTCCCATGGAGAACAAGCCACCCTGAGCCCCAGGGGGATTCAGCCCTGCAGGCAGAGTACAACTTCCACCCCCATCCCAGCACAGACAATGTGGGGGGACTGGGGGGTCCCTTCACACTGGGAAGTGGCCAGGCCCCAAAAGAGGGAGAAGCAGAAAGGGCTGTGGTAGCGCAGTGCTGCCACCCAGTGGTCATTGTTGGACATAGCAGGCTATTGAATTCCCCTCTGCATCCCCTCCATCTCCAATGGAATGCAGCCTAAGGCCTGCCAGCATCACATAGGATGGGGGGCAGCACACAGCTGGAGTCCTAACTCCTCCGCACATCCCTGTAACCCACCAGACCCCACCCCACTCCAAGAGCCAGGGAGAGAACCCAGGAGTCTGGCTCCCAGTCATCTGCTGTAACCACTAGCCACCACTTCCCTCCCTCACTGAGCAGAGATGCCAAGAGTCCTGGCTCCCAGATTTCTGCTGCTATTTTGCTAATGTCTGTGCAAACTTCCAGCAAAGCATCTGCCACTTCTCCATAGCTGGTCACACAGAGGCTAATAACCTACTACTACTGCCAATTAATCCTTCAGCCACCTGGGCGAGGGCCACGCTGTGGCGCTAGCAGACGGTGGGTTGGGAGGGGGGAAGACAACAGTCTGGACCATATCATCTTGCGTTTGCACATGGAGATGGAAGGAAGGGTAGGGTTACCCCAACCCTGGCCATCTCCCCATTCCCAGCTCTTCTTTTGCAAGGCAGCGGGAGGAAGCAGCCTGTGGGGAGAGGCGCATGTGGAGCTGGACAGGCGGACGGGCCATGGGGAAGGATGGAGGGAAAGAAGGGAGTACAGGACAAAGGGCCAGGGCCAGGGCCAGGGCCAGGAAAGGTTGTAAATGAATGGGTGGGAGACCATCAAGCTCCTGCCCACACCCACCATCCTGGCACTGACTCCAAATTCCTGCCTTTGTGTTTCCAGGGCTGCACATGTTGTGATGAAGGTGCACCTGGGGGCACCCGCTGGCAGAGCATGTCCAGCCAGCTGTGGCCAGGCCTTGATTTCCTGAGAGCCGGCTCTTCCCAAGCCCTAAGGGGAGGGGATTCCATGCCCAGCCATGGGGCAGGGCCAGACCAAGCAAAGCAGCAGGCCTCTAGCCTTAGGGCCTGCTGGGACTCAGCTCTGCCTGGCATGGTAGGCTCTCTGGGGGGCCCCAGACTGCCCCACAAGCCCAGCGCCCAACCAGCTGGGGGACAGTCATGCTGTGCAGGGCTTCAGGCAGCAGAGACAGAGTTGGCTTCTCCAGTGCTGAACCCACACAAAGCCGGGTATTACAGTGACATGCAAATCATATGCAAATGCACAACGCTTCCTTGCTTCAGCTGACCTGCCTGTGGATATGCAAATCTGCTCATTTGCATAACATATCCAAGTATCCCAAGGCGTTGGCCACTCCTACAAGCTGGTACCCTTGTTAGGCAGCACTCCATCCTGGGGAAGGACTTCCTTAGCACTGGCCCCCTCCCCCCAGCCCTGGCATTGCAGCGTGGGCGTTGCTGGGAGGGGGTGGTGTGTGACTGTCCCTTCAGATCCCAAGGAGCCTGAAGAACCGTGCTGGGAAGTGGGAGAACAGCCACCCCTCTCCCCACAAAGATACAGCTACAGTCCCTGCCCCATCTCTCTCACCAGTGACAAGTCCTTCCACAGACTGAGCTGGGCAGAGGGTTCCCTATCCTGAAATGGGGAGGGACCCCAGCACCCCCTGCAGCTCACGACACTACCACGCTCTGGGGATTCGATTCATGACAGTCCCCCCACTCCTGGGATGGGGAGGGAGGAGGAGCATCCTCCAATGGGGTTACCTAGCAACCGCATCCTGCCACCTCCACGCACTGAATGGAGAGAAGAGACTGTGGGGGGGTATTTCATCCCAGCATTCCCCAAAGCAGGGGGGAGCCCCTCATTACTCCAGCTCTGGCCTCACTCAGCAGAGGGCACTGTAGGGAGCAGGGCACTGGCTGGGGGGTTCCCAGCTACTCCAGCCCCAGCCTTGCCCAGCAGGGGGCACTGTGGGGGGGCAGGAGCTGGCTGTGGGAGGGAGGGATGCCCGGCTACTGCAGCCCCAGCGTTGCCCAGCAGGGGGCACTGTGGAGGGATGGGGCAGGGCATTGACTGTGAGGGGAGACCCAGCCTTGCCCAGCAGAGGGCGCTGTGAGGGGAGGGCAGGGCATTGGCTGTGAGGGGAGACCCAGCCTTGCCCAGCAGAGGGCGCTGTGAGGGGAGGGCAGGGCATTGGCTGTGAGGGGAGACCCAGCCTTGCCCAGCAGAGGGCGCTGTGAGGGGAGGGCAGGGCATTGGCTGTGAGGGGAGACCCAGCCTTGCCCAGCAGAGGGCGCTGTGAGGGGAGGGCAGGGCATTGGCTGTGAGGGGAGACCCAGCCTTGCCCAGCAGAGGGCGCTGTGAGGGGAGGGCAGGGCATTGGCTGTGAGGGGAGACCCAGCCTTGCCCAGCAGAGGGCGCTGTGAGGGGAGGGCAGGGCATTGGCTGTGAGGGGAGACCCAGCCTTGCCCAGCAGAGGGCGCTGTGAGGGGAGGGCAGGGCATTGGCTGTGAGGGGAGACCCAGCCTTGCCCAGCAGAGGGCGCTGTGAGGGGAGGGCAGGGCATTGGCTGTGAGGGGAGACCCAGCCTTGCCCAGCAGAGGGCGCTGTGAGGGGAGGGCAGGGCATTGGCTGTGAGGGGAGACCCAGCCTTGCCCAGCAGAGGGCGCTGTGAGGGGAGGGCAGGGCATTGGCTGTGAGGGGAGACCCAGCCTTGCCCAGCAGAGGGCGCTGTGAGGGGAGGGCAGGGCATTGGCTGTGAGGGGAGACCCAGCCTTGCCCAGCAGAGGGCGCTGTGAGGGGAGGGCAGGGCATTGGCTGTGAGGGGAGACCCAGCCTTGCCCAGCAGAGGGCGCTGTGAGGGGAGGGCAGGGCATTGGCTGTGAGGGGAGACCCAGCCTTGCCCAGCAGAGGGCGCTGTGAGGGGAGGGCAGGGCATTGGCTGTGAGGGGAGACCCAGCCTTGCCCAGCAGAGGGCGCTGTGAGGGGAGGGCAGGGCATTGGCTGTGAGGGGAGACCCAGCCTTGCCCAGCAGAGGGCGCTGTGAGGGGAGGGCAGGGCATTGGCTGTGAGGGGAGACCCAGCCTTGCCCAGCAGAGGGCGCTGTGAGGGGAGGGCAGGGCATTGGCTGTGAGGGGAGACCCAGCCTTGCCCAGCAGAGGGCGCTGTGAGGGGAGGGCAGGGCATTGGCTGTGAGGGGAGACCCAGCCTTGCCCAGCAGAGGGCGCTGTGAGGGGAGGGCAGGGCATTGGCTGTGAGGGGAGACCCAGCCTTGCCCAGCAGAGGGCGCTGTGAGGGGAGGGCAGGGCATTGGCTGTGAGGGGAGACCCAGCCTTGCCCAGCAGAGGGCGCTGTGAGGGGAGGGCAGGGCATTGGCTGTGAGGGGAGACCCAGCCTTGCCCAGCAGAGGGCGCTGTGAGGATCCAGCCTTGCCCAGCAGGGGGCGCTGTGAGGGATAGGACAGGGCATTGGCTGTGAGGGGAGATCCAGCCTTGCCCAGCAGGGGGCACTGTGGGGGGAAGGGGCGGGGCATTAGCTATGAGGGGGGACCCAGCTTCTCCCAAGATGGGGTGTTGTGGGGAGCAGGAAAGGGCCTTGGATGGGACAGGGGATCCAGCCTTGCCCAGCTGGGGGTGCTGTAGGGGGCAGAGCCTTGGATGGGACAGGGGATCCAGCCTTGCCCAGCTGGGGGTGCTGTAGGGGGCAGAGCCTTGGATGGGACAGGGGATCCAGCCTTGCCCAGCAGGGGGCGCTGTAGGGGGCAGAGCCTTGGATGGGACAGGGGATCCAGCCTTGCCCAGCAGGGGGCGCTGTAGGGGGCAGAGCCTTGGATGGGACAGGGGATCCAGCCTTGCCCAGCAGGGGGCGCTGTAGGGGGCAGAGCCTTGGATGGGACAGGGGATCCAGCCTTGCCCAGCAGGGGGCGCTGTAGGGGGCAGAGCCTTGGATGGGACAGGGGATCCAGCCTTGCCCAGCAGGGGGCGCTGTAGGGGGCAGAGCCTTGGATGGGACAGGGGATCCAGCCTTGCCCAGCAGGGGGCGCTGTAGGGGGCAGAGCCTTGGATGGGACAGGGGATCCAGCCTTGCCCAGCAGGGGGCGCTGTAGGGGGCAGAGCCTTGGATGGGACAGGGGATCCAGCCTTGCCCAGCAGGGGGCGCTGTAGGGGGCAGAGCCTTGGATGGGACAGGGGATCCAGCCTTGCCCAGCAGGGGGCGCTGTAGGGGGCAGAGCCTTGGATGGGACAGGGGATCCAGCCTTGCCCAGCAGGGGGCGCTGTAGGGGGCAGAGCCTTGGATGGGACAGGGGATCCAGCCTTGCCCAGCAGGGGGCGCTGTAGGGGGCAGAGCCTTGGATGGGACAGGGGATCCAGCCTTGCCCAGCAGGGGGCGCTGTAGGGGGCAGAGCCTTGGATGGGACAGGGGATCCAGCCTTGCCCAGCAGGGGGCGCTGTAGGGGGCAGAGCCTTGGATGGGACAGGGGATCAGCCCAGCCCAGCAGGGGGCTCTGTGGGGGGCAGGGCTTTGGCTGTGAGCGGCGGGAAGGGTGTAGCTGGTGCCAGCATGGAGAGCATTTGTGTGTTTAAAGGCCCCTTTTACTAGTGAGTAGGGTGCTTCGTTTAGTGCCTCGTTAATATTGCTATTTTGGGCCCACAATAAATTAGCATAATAGATGATGGGGCAGTTCAGATGGGAGCCTGCAGCCCTGCTCCCCGGCACTGCACTAAGAGGAGATTCTCCGCCCCCACAGCCCCAGCTGTGCTAGCCTTGGGGGATCCCAGCCCTGCTTGGGATCGAGGTGCACTCCATAATGAGAAGTGTGGGCGATGGGCTCAGAGGAGCTCACGGACACGAGGACAGAAGGTGTTTGGACCCTGGTTCTGGGCAAACAATGCCTGTGACGGCACAAGTGGCATGCAAACCTCACCCCCACCCCCACCCTTTCTGGGCCAGTGGCTGGGAAAGTGGGTCACACAGGTCCTCTGGGGATCGCACCAGCCTCATGCCAAGGACCTGGGCTCCCCTGAGAGTCCACCCTGGCCACGAGCCAGCGCCATCCTTGCAGGCCCAGGGGACAGTCAGCATGTGGGAGGAGGTGAACTGCACAGAGCAATCCCTGGAACCTCCCTGGATGCCAGGGTCCCAGGACCCAAAGAACCCCCCGGACAACAGAGGCAGCCCTCTGGCAGCATGTGCTGTTCCCCTCCCACTGCGCGTCTGTCTCCCATCTGCCCCCACAGGCCTGGGTAAGGAGCCCCACTGCCCTCTATGGGACCCCCCGAGCAACTCCACTGCCCCATAATGGAACCACCCCCCAGTGACCCCACTGCCCTCTATGGGACCCTCCCCAGCAACTCCACTGCCCCATAATGGAACCACCCCCCAGTGACCCCACTGCCCTCTATGGGACCCTCCCCAGCAACTCCACTGCCCCATAATGGAACCACCCCCCAGTGACCCCACTGCCCTCTATGGGACCCTCCCCAGCAACTCCACTGCCCCATAATGGAACCACCCCCCAGTGACCCCACTGCCCTCTATGGGACCCTCCCCAGCAACTCCACTGCCCCATAATGGAACCACCCCCCAGTGACCCCACTGCCCTCTATGGGACCCTCCCCAGCAACTCCACTGCCCCATAATGGAACCACCCCCCAGTGACCCCACTGCCCTCTATGGGACCCTCCCCAGCAACTCCACTGCCCCATAATGGAACCACCCCCCAGTGACCCCACTGCCCTCTATGGGACCCTCCCCAGCAACTCCACTGCCCCATAATGGAACCACCCCCCAGTGACCCCACTGCCCTCTATGGGACCCTCCCCAGCAACTCCACTGCCCCATAATGGAACCACCCCCCAGTGACCCCACTGCCCTCTATGGGACCCTCCCCAGCAACTCCACTGCCCCATAATGGAACCACCCCCCAGTGACCCCACTGCCCTCTATGGGACCCTCCCCAGCAACTCCACTGCCCCATAATGGAACCACCCCCCAGTGACCCCACTGCCCTCTATGGGACCCTCCCCAGCAACTCCACTGCCCCATAATGGAACCACCCCCCAGTGACCCCACTGCCCTCTATGGGACCCTCCCCAGCAACTCCACTGCCCCATAATGGAACCACCCCCCAGTGACCCCACTGCCCTCTATGGGACCCTCCCCAGCAACTCCACTGCCCCATAATGGAACCACCCCCCAGTGACCCCACTGCCCTCTATGGGACCCTCCCCAGCAACTCCACTGCCCCATAATGGAACCACCCCCCAGTGACCCCACTGCCCTCTATGGGACCCTCCCCAGCAACTCCACTGCCCCATAATGGAACCACCCCCCAGTGACCCCACTGCCCTCTATGGGACCCTCCCCAGCAACTCCACTGCCCCATAATGGAACCACCCCCCAGTGACCCCACTGCCCTCTATGGGACCCTCCCCAGCAACTCCACTGCCCCATAATGGAACCACCCCCCAGTGACCCCACTGCCCTCTATG